TTTTTTTTTTTTTGAAAAACATAAAACTTTTGTATAATTTGAATATATTTCGATCAAACGACATTGCGGGTACAATCTCTATATACATGTCTCATCTGATGCTTCTCTTCATGGATTTGAACTTGAGATGTTGAAAGATGGATTTGGCGATTGAATGTCCTTAATGATTGAGCTTGAATTTGTTTAACGTTAATTGGGGTGTTGAATTATTTATTCACGTATTCAATGTGATGACTTGATTTGATTGAAGACAACTTCCTGGACAACTTGCTTCTTCGATCTTTCTAGAAAACGGACTTGAACTTGAATAACGTTGTCTCGAGGGCTTTTTCTTGGATCAAACGCTAGTTGTTTGAACTTCGAATTGGTTAAATTGAATGCGAATTGAATGTCGTTTGAACGTCCTTGATATTCTTGGAATGATTTGAGAGGAAAGGATGTCGCCTCTTTATTTATTGTAAAATGACCACCACTTCTTGGCCTTTCCATTGAGCATACTTCAGAGGTTAAGAGACTTGATTCCAATATTGAAAGCCGATCTCTTGAATTCCCTTGGATATTCAAGAACACCTTTTGGATCTTCATGAGAATTATTTAGAGCTCTTGAGCTTGAGACTTTGATTTATGAGGTGTAATTTTATGGCTTTGAGGAAAGTCTTATTTATAAGTGTAAGAGAGGGAGTCTTGGAAAAAAAGACTTCAATTTGATTGACATTCATGATTTGATATAATCTCTTTTCTTATTCTAAGATTTCTCTTCATCAAAAGATTTGACTTAGTGGCAAGAAATACTTATTTTACTAATTAAGTATCTTAATTATCTTGGATTTATGTCAAAAAATAAATAAAGACATTAATTAATAAAATATTAAATTTTGATGTCTACAACACAAAAAAAAAAATTAGAAAATATATACAGATAGAATAAAGCTCTCCCGCACACCCGTCAAACTATGCCAGTCCGCCACTGATATGGGATATTATATACTAGACCGGTTCGGAGGGCACTCCAAACAGAACAGCGTATGGGTCTGGTCGAGCAGTACCGACAGGTCCATAGAAACTCTAGCACCTGGTCGATCAGGGATGCCCCAGCAAGTACAGGCACAGACCAACCGTCTCCTGCCTCCAGAGCAGTTACACGTGAGGACACATGGACGGATCTGGTCGAAAGCCAGAATATGCTAAAGGATCTCCGTCACATGGAAGGTGGACACGCGGCGGTGTGTGAATGGGCCAAGGGATAACGAACTCTGACATTCTCTGGCGCAGCTGACGCGTTTTCTGACACCGGAGAAAGTGGAGACGCGCGACCGTACGGACGAGCGAAGGATGGAGGGCGAGACTCGCCTAATCGCGCGTGGACAACAGGTAACTCGTCCCTATAAATAGGGACGAGGATTATCGCCTTTAGATGACTTCTGATTTTCCTAAGATTCTCAGATATATCTTTATCTCTCAAGATCTGACTTGAGCGTTGGAGGCTCTTCACCGGAAAATACCTCCGGTGTGAGAGTTTTTGTGCAGGTTCAGCGTTCGACCGGTGGAGGAAGTCGTATTTGCTGCGGTTCTCGATCGGGCGAGCGTTAGACTTGTATTATTACCATATGAACCAATACCCGACGACGATCACTCAAGAAACATAAGACCATAGCCCAAGCACGAAACAACAAACTCCCTCCACCTAAATAAGACGATGGCTAACTAGAACCGCCTACGCCCAAACCAGATCATTCTTCCCATGAAAAGCCCGTCGGAAAAACACCAAGAGGCCATCACCAAACCCTTCCCCAACACAACCTCGACACCACACCCAACTCGCCCAAAGACGATACAGCCCTATCGGAGGAATCCTCCCTCTCAAAACTAGGAAAAAGACAGATTTCAGGGGAAGAAAAAGGTGCTAGCCCTAGCCCCCGCCACCCAAAGAAGCGAAAGGCACTAACACCTCTATCGTTGTCGCCTAGTCTTTGGAAGGCCCTGCTGCAGCCACCTGTTGTAAGGAGAAGCGCCGCTCCAAGACCAAAAGCTAAGACGATACAAAGAGAAAAAAGACTGCCCAAATGCCGCCGACCATCTCCTCAGTGGGGTGGAGCTCACGGCTCGGAGGAGGCAAAGAGGCGGACATTGGTCGGTTTCCATAGATTTAGGGATTTACGCTGTATTTGGTTGGGAGAAAAATGAGGCGATGAGAGGGAAGGGCGAAGGTTATTTTATATTTCCCTTGTTTGGTTGGAAAATTTGAATATGAAGGGAGAGAAAATTTTAACTTAAATTCCCCTCCCTTTCCCGTTTTTGCTCCCCTCCAAAAATGGAGGAATTTGCAGGGGAGGGGAAATTTTTAATATTTTCAATTACATCCTTACCCTTATTATATATAATTTTTTAGTTTTTATTTATAAAATCATTAAGGATAGTATATGATATGCAAGAAGCGACAAAAACCCAAGATATAAGACACTTCTATCCCACAAGCTTATTGGAAAAGAATATTTAAGAAAAGAAGTGGCATACCTTAAGTAACTAATCAATAAAGTCGAGCGAGCTCCATCATAAGCAATATTTTCACACAACAAGCGTTTAATTCAACGTATTTTACTAGACGTCTTCCATGCTCTCAATATGAGTCATTCCCGTTCAACCCGGCCACCTCGTTCATCTTCTTTTGGAATTGTCAACCGTCTTTTTTTCTCTTGAATTTTCCAACACCATGAAATTGTAAAAGTTCGACATTCGTCATTCATAGGCTCGAAAAGTGATCTCACCGAGATCCATATGAATAACTACTCTCATGGTTGCTAGGAATGACCTTCCTAAAATCAATGAAGCATCACTATTATCCTTCATATCCACTACCAAAAAAATTGCTAGAAATTTAATCCCATCGACCGTGATCCAAACATCTTCTAATATTACTATAGAACGACCTCGGGATTAATCCACTATTTAAAGAGTGATCGTAGTTGATAGAAGCCTCTCCATCGTAACTTCTTGAAAACCGATAGTGGCATCAAGTTGTCACCAGACCCTAAATCACATAGCATTTTCCAGTATACATTTCCCAAAATACACAGTCAATATAAAATCCACTGGGATCTTCATTCTTAATAGAGCGGTCTATTCAAAAAACTGCACTATTCTCCTCTGTTAGTGCAACCAACTCATGTAACTCAGACGATCTTTACCTTTTCATCCG